TAATTACCTGAATCTTTGTGTTTTTGTTACCATAGAATGAGCATTTTCTATCCACAGATGCTGCAGGTCGGCTGCCATGGAGTCCACCATGTTGAATCACTATGTTTCTAAAGAAGGATCAAACCAAACACTGGCTAGGGTAGGCAGGATGGAGTGTGGGAGTCGCTATCTGCAACTACACCACTAGATGCCACTGAATCCTACACACTGGACCTTCAAAATACGTTTACTAGTGAATCAGCTCAAGCCAAGGGCACTGCTGAGCACATAACAGTCAGCATTCTTTACTGTAAAATCAGCAACAGGGAAATGTGATTCATGAAAAGTAACACTGCACTAACCAGCCCCTCCCTCCTCCATCCTCCCCCCAAAAAATCATTTAACCTAGATGTATTGTTATGGAGAAACATGCCACGCTGACTTTCAGTAATTTTTCTGCATATTCCGTCTGACTTGAGGTCAAACATGAGAGGATTAGCGAGCCTCTAATCCACGCAGGTGGTGGTATGGCCTTGGGCTGCTCAAGTCCTCTCAGTTTAGTATGCAGGCTGGCTGGTTAGGAGAATTGGAACACACCAGCGCTCTGGGGGGATTTTAAGCTAAATAAATAGACAAAATAAAAGAGCTGGAATAAGAAAGGGTTTTATGGAGAAAGAGGTGATATTAGCTTTGTGATTGAGTGGGGAGAGTGGGACTCGGAAAAGGAGAGGGAATAGGTGCAAGTGTTGTGGCATTTTGTGGTGTGCCTGCTCTTAATTATCATGTCCCCCTGTGCGCCGTCTCCCTTCCCAGCTCACCCACTTCCTTCATCTCCTTTTCAATTTTCTAATTGCTTGGTTTTAATTAAAGCCACACAGAAGTGACAGTGAGTCAATTTAAAGGCAAAAAAATGGGCACAGATAGTCAAAGCAGGCACTTTTTGGAAAAAGAGGAGTGTGTTGGAGGGGTTGTTTCCACAGTACTATCACGCCTTAGGATGAATCAACAAACTGCCTCTCTTCTGCATGAATAAGTGATGTAAAATCTCACATGCTGGTTCTATATTGGGAAGCCTGTATTGTGTTATGGTGATATGTAGGCTTCGTGGTGCTTATGTTTGCATCTACATACATGGTATATTTATACGAAGACGGCTGGAGTGTTGTTGAAGTAGCACACACCTATTTCCTTTATTTTCCCACTGTTTCTCACTTCTTATCTCCTCTGTTTCATCACTGTGATATCTGGTTGTGTTCCCTTTGTGTGTCATTTCCTCCCCCATGAATCCCAGCCAATTCCCCTCCCTCTAACCGCTCAATTACTGATGTACTGTAGCCTCCCGCTCTCTCTCCCTCCGCTTCTCTCACTTCCTTAATGATACCACATTCCACATTTTAGGACTTATTTCTCCTCATCCCATCTTTTAATTATGCAGCAGCATTTTGGCTCCAGCTTCTAACGATACAGACGGTGTCCTACCTGTTTTTACACTGAGGATCTTCTCGCTGAACTGGGTCCTGACTGTACGCCGATCGCTCCTAGATTTCATCTACAATGAGACAATTACAATTACGTCCCTGCCTTTGATGTGCTTTCCAAATAACTGGGTCAAGTCAGATGAGAGTATCTGTGAGCCAGACACTAATTTACCAAAGTTGAGGAAAATCAAACAATTCTGTGTAAAACTCTCCACTGACAAGATAACTCTGCTGGAAATGATGGCCAGTACTTTAGTTTTAAGTGCCATCTATTTTCAGGTTTTTGTCTGCATTTACTCCAGCTTCATCAGTGTGAATGAACGTAATGCTTGCCGAGCTTACCAGAGGTTACCTTATTAGTTCTATATCTATTATATAGTGGACTATACAATGAATTGATATCACAGTAAAATGTCTAATTGTCTGTTTCATTCTATTTGCTTTGATAATTAATGACATCTTCAAGGTCACGGTTTGACCTTGATTTATTTGTTTTTAACATGAACAAAGGGTTATATTTGCAGATGTAAAATGGTTATATCAGTATTTCTAAACAGTTGAATGACACAATCTCAACTCAAGGTCCACTTTTTAGCTTTTTTAGTGCTTCCAACCACATCTCATGGTCCTCATCAGCGAGTGGAATCTTTTTTTGTTCATGGTCTCCTTGATCTTTCTCTGGCTGACTCCTGGTCAATAAATTTGGCCTCTTCCCAGTTGATTCAGTGACTGGTTTTGGTCTTTGGTCTGCTTAGCTTAGGATAGACTAAACGTTATTATTATTATTATTATTATTATTATTATTATATCAAACACATGATGAAACTGTCAAAAAACAGTGTTTACCTCCTTTAATGAATGAATAAATTAAAACATTTACATAATTTAAACAATGTAGCCAATGAGTATTTCATCCTAGCCTGATAATTGCTACTTTATTTCACTTCACCGATTTAAGGTGGTACCTTGTGGAACAATAAATTCAATAAGACACATCAGCATAATTAAAAAATCCACCAAGGCGCACATTAGAATAAGGATAATTAGCAACTGCTAAATTTAATGGCATAAAAAAAGCTCCATCCAGTTTTGAACAAATATTCCAGCCACTATGTAATTGAGATAAGAGCTAATAAATGAACGGTTGTTATCAGCTGCCACCAAATGAGTAAATTGGGTAACAGTATGTATTAAGACACACTTTTGGGGCATTTTTAACTGGCTGTACATGTTGTTTGGGATCTGGGGGAGGGGGTAAGTGAGACGGTCTGCGGACTGGACAGTACTAGGGAAAAGGTGGTGTCTGTTTAGTTCACCTTTGTCCAGGACTTGCTTTGTAACACTGTGTTTATGTTTTATAATCAGCCCGTGCATGGAGACACGCAATGGGCCCTCAGGCTGCCAAACGCAATACCATGGTGAAGTTATCAATTTGAGAGAACCATTTTAAAGCTTTTACAAATTCATTCTGAGCAAATGTAGCTGTACTGCATTGTGTCAACTGCAAACTCTACTGGTTGGTGCGCCAGTGACAGAGCCTGGAGGGATGGTCTCTCTGTCAGCGCTTCACTCCAACCATTCTGTTTAAAACAAGGATGGAGCTATTTACTGGGTTTAGTACATAGCACAGCACAGTTTCATTCTTATCATCTTACTTGCACCAATAAAATCAAATAAGCATATTCCTCAAAATGTTAAACTGTTCCTGCAACATCACTGCGGTACACCCTATAGCACCGCTGAAGAACTGGGGTGGTGTATGAGATCACATGCAGCTGTAGGGAACATGACAGGGACCCTGGAGACAGCATGCTGAGTGATGAGTTGTTTCAACCACATTTCATGGTGTTCATCAGTGAATAGAACTTGCTCAGGTGTTCTATGTTTAGCACCTCATCAAAACTCCAAAAAAGTAAATTGACCTTGAGTTGAGATCATATTGTCACATCTACTAATCCTGCGCAAGTGGAGCAGTTCAACCACCAGTTTATTACAGACAGTTTAACTTAACCTGAGAAGAGTCAGTACATACATTATTCAAATGAATCTCTTGTGTAACATTTTAACAATTTTTAGCTTCCATAAAAAATTTAAACTTGCCTTTTATTCAACCTACAGTCAGTATTTAAGTAGAAAGTTCATGTAGAAATGGAAAATGTTCCATTTCCATTTCGGCTGCAAATAAGCACGTTTATTCTCAGATTTATGAAGTTTTGTGCACTTTACTTTAGTAAATGCATGTTTCCTTTTTTTTTGCTTAATTACATTGATGGATGTTTATGTGCATGTGGACAGGCTTATTAGAGAATCCACACCCCATCAGCTCCTGCAAATAGTTACAAATGGATTCAGGGATGGCTCATATTTTTCCTGTTTATCATTTAACATCTCATTCAGCTCATTCAAACATGAACATGGAAAAAAGAAAATTACTCTAAGCTGACTTTGGACTTCATCGTTATGGATGAGATTGACTTGGAGTCCAGAAATATCTGCATAAACACTGTATATTTCAAGGCATTATTTTCACATTGTAAGAACTACTTTAACTGTGTACATTATCATCAAAACTAGAAAATTAGCAAGATTTTTAATGTGGGTTCTGGCCAAAGTGTACCTCGTTAAAATTGACTGTAATAAAATTGGAGTAGCTTTATTAATTTAATTTAATTGTTTAATTTTCAGTTTTTGGGCAGCAATAACTTTTTGCCAACAAAAAAATTATTTCAGTAAGTTTTGTATAGGAAAGCAGAAAAGCAACTTCACTGGGAGATGCAAAAAAAAAGGTGGGCGTTCGAACAAGCTGGGAGAGGGGTGAAAGCTGCTGGTGGTGAGTAGATGAGCATCAAACACCAGATGCCAGACCTGCTATCAGTTCAAATATAATTACACAGCACTCTCATCCATGCATATAACCACTTCTTCTGTGCTCATTTATCATTTAACAGAATTTGAAAAAAAAAAAGTTTAATGGAACACTTACTTGTGGATCAATTTCTATCACGGTGAGGGCAATGTAAAGAAGAGGAAATAGAATTCATGTTCTAAAGGCCCATTAATAATAATAATAGCCTGGAATATCTACAGATTCCATGTGACACTTTCATTAATATCCTTAGTGCTTTTCAGTGATTTATTGAACTGCAATTTATCATACCACAGTCTGCATGTCATTTTTGAATTTTCTTTTTTTCCCCCCTGTTGGTCAGGAACTTATTTCATGTTTAACTTTTGTGTGTTTACTAATATTTACACTGTAGCTATACAGTACATAAATCCTAGATATGTACAGGAACAGGGGATCGGTTTGTAGGAAGCAGCTATGGTTTAGCCAGCAGGGTCTGATCAAGGGAGACAAATTGCAAACTAGAGCAAAGAAAGAGGGTGGAAAAAGCTAAATTTGCAGACAGAATCAATTTCTGGTTTAAATGAATTGAAAAAAAGAAAGAGAGGCAAGAAAGAGGGGTTGAGGATGCCTTTTACTTTCTCCAAACAAGCCTATAAAACCTTAAATACAGCAATAAACAGACTCAGACTGCAACGGTAGACATAAGAAGATATAGATTTTAATATCTTTATAAACATTTTTGTACTGTTGTTTTCTGATGATAACTTACTGAACAATTGGATTATGACAAAGAAAGAAGATGAATAGGCATACAGTAGAACAAGAAATAGGGAGGTGAGGAATTGTGCATTAACAAATAAAAGGTTCTAAAAATATAACATGAAAAATACGTAAATAAACAAATCACCAGAAAATCAAAAATCGAAAGACTCCTCCTGACAGGAGGAGCAGAAAACCCTGTTATCATCATTGATGTCACTGATATTGTTTTTTCTCATAGTAATACAGTAAATGATTAATATCAGCACTGCAAGAAGTCCTCTTGTCTCCACTGTTACCGGTACAGTTCACATCATTGATACAAACACCATCCTATCATTAGATTTAAGGGAGGCACAAAAGCTCCAGAAGTATAATAAGATGTCCTGTAATTGTCCATCTGTCAGTCTGCATTGTACTGCATCCCCTTGTTACTTCAGAAGCGATTGTCTTGGTCTTGGATCCGCCACATCCATGGACAATCACATCAGTTAATAAGGACTTATTATTCTCTCTGCATGATCCCTGTTTTGCCATGCTCCATTCAAAATGTTTATTTTTTAAAATCTTTTATTGATCACAAGTCAGTTAAGGTACACACACATTTTTTTCTTGAGTCTAGTTCTTGTATTCCTTTGAAGTTAAGTGATTAAGAAAAAAAATGTGTTCCTCACATTCTCAATGAGGCAGGTATGCCCTCACTGAGGAGGAAATCAGTTCAGCACAACCTCACTGGGAAACTGAGAAAGCCCCGTTTGACCCTCGACCTCTAAGGCTCCTGTTGGCCCTGCAGCAGGGATCCGTCTCTAGGTCCATTTTGTGTCATAGAAAAATCAAATGAACAACATCTGACACAAGATATAGACAGACTCTTCAATATTCACAGCTTGATCTCCCAGAGACACAAATTGTTTTCCAAGCAAATGAAAATAGCGCATGGCAGTCCTCGTCATCTTGAAACAATTAGCAGCTTAATATTCAGTTGCACAGAGGGAGAGAGGCGGTGGAAATGAAGAAGGAGGCAGAGTTGTGTCAAGAAATGTAATACCGATGAGAAATACTGTTAAATAGGCAGAAAGGTTGGTACAGTACCTGAAAAAGCCAGCATTATGTAGTGAGTAGTTACAATTTATTAGGGCTTCATACAGTGTATGAGCTAACTGGTTGCTCTGTTAACATCTGTGGCTATAGATTTCCATTTTGTTGTAAGATACTGATACTGACTAACAATTTATTGCCACGCTTACACTTTACCTCTTTGTTTCTGAGAACCACTTACACTCAATTGTTCCAACCTGTTGTTAGCAAAGGATGCAACAGAAAAATACATTTGGCTGAAAGAATGAGAGCAAGATAGGACTGACGCTGGAGGCTTCCCATGGTTATTGACTTTCCATTTGTACCTTCTTGATAACAATTTACAATCTGTGAACTGAAAATTAAAGCTGGATGGAGCAGCTTTTCCGTCTCAGAGCTAACTAGCTAACAAGTTTTACCTTGTTTGCTCTCTCAACTCTTTCTCCTCTATTTTCACCAAATTTTGGTTATCTGAGCTCCAGTTGAGTGAAAAACAGAAGTTGTATACCAAGACATATGAAGTGAAATCATACTGACATAAGTGGCAGTGCAAGCTTGGTCTGCATTAACCTTTCATCGTTCTCTGGCTCTCAGTCCCTCCGATTCTTGTGCTGCGAGTCTTTCTGTTGTAGATGTTTGATGCTTTGATGCCTGTTTCAGTCTGAACAGTAAAGCTCCCTACACAACATTTACACATATAATCACACTCACACACACATACATAAAAGACACACAGGCCTTGTAGTGCAGGAGCAAGAGAGGGTCTGAGGGCTGTGTTTTTTTGTGATTAGCGTTTGCCAAACCCTATGTAGGTCAGCGGAGAATGTAGTCAATGTTTGTTGTTATCAAGGCCACAAAGAGGGCATAGACATGTAGTAAGGACTGGGATAAGCTTGCCCTATTGTTGGCTTGCTGAACCCCACTAGGGGGGCGTACAGTGGTCCGGGGAGTGCACTTGTGCTTCCTCCGTGTGACGGTGCCGTCTGGAGACGTGTGGTCATGTTTCCCCCCATCTGTGAAATCTGGGGAGGAATCCTCCTTGTCTGCCATGACCTCCTTTGAGTGGTGAACCTCATTGTCACCTTTCCCCTTGCCAACCCTGTTACGAGGCTTTGTGCAGTTCCGAGAACGGCCAGGCCTCGAGGGGTGAACTATGTGGGTCTGTCCTCCAGAGCCTACCACCACGCCACGATTCATAGATGGATTCACCGTGCCAGATAAATTGTTAGTCTGGGCTCTGGACTCCGAATTAGGTACAGTTGGTGAACAGTTAGGGAAGTCCTCCTTGCGAAGCTCCTTGAGGTCTTTCCCAACCATATCAGCCGGCGCCTGGCAACCCACTGAAGACGTTGAACCTCGGAAACGTTTCAACCACTCCCATAGGGACTGGGCCTTGCAGTCACATGACCAGGGGTTGTCGTTGAGGCGTAGGTATTCCAAGGCGGGCAGCGTGTCCAGGCACTGTCCAGACAGCTGTATCAGGGAGTTGTTGAACAGGTAGAGGGTGGTGAGACGTTTCAGGTCATGGAAGGCCAGGCGGTCGACCCACTCAATCTGGTTTTGGTGCAGAAGCAGTCGGTCCAAGGCTCGAAGGCCTCTGAAGGTGTTCTGGTTGATGCTCCACAGACGGTTTCCGTGCAGGAACAGATGGCTCAGGTTGTGGAGGTCCATAAATGTGTCATCCTGCAGAAACTTCAGATGATTATCCTGAGGAGATACAGAGAGCACACAATTACAAGATTATGATGCAATGTTTTGATTTCCAACATTATTGTACTGTTACCTTAACTTGTGTCTACATGCCATGAATACATTTAGTGAATCAACATATTATGCACATATGCTTCTGCAATCAACTTTTCAAATTCAAAATACTGCAGCCTGTCCTATAGTGCATATAGTGCCTAGCAAGCAGTGCTGAATAGATGACACCAAACCATCTGAGAAATGTGGAATAATTTTGAATTTGACACCATAGATGGAAAAACTGTGGATAGAGGAATGGCTGTTTGGTGATGCCAGCTTGTCACTCACATGAGGCAGTGGAGCCACTGCAAATGAACAGAGCATTAACTCTGCAACATAGTTTAGGATTTGGCTTTGTGGGGCGTGTTTGAATTAATTGAAATAAATGTGGAAGTGTTCAAATTTGTTATTCGCTAAAGTGACAGCCCTACAACAGTCTTGGTGGTAAAATGAACCAGAATAAAAGTTTTTTGTGTACCTGCAAGTAGAGATACTGCAGGTTTCTGAGTCCCTGGAAGATGTTATTAGGAAGTGAACTGAGCCCACAACGGTACAGGTGTAGCGCATTGAGCCGAGTCAGCCCATGAAAGGTGTCTTCAGCCAAGGAGCGCAGGTGGCGGTTGTCTCCCAGATCCAGCTCCTCAAGCAGCGTGAAGCCGTGGAAGGTGGAGGGCTCGATGTATGTGATGTTATTGGAGTAGATCCAGAGTGTGACCGTGTCGGTGCTGAAGTGGCCCCGAAGTAAACGATGGATCTTATTGTTCTGTAAGAAGATGCGCTCACTGTCAGGAGGAATGCCTTCAGGGACCGACAGGAAGTTGTGGGCTTGGCAGGAGACTGTGCTGGGTGCAGTGTAGCAGATACAGTGACGGGGGCAGGACCAGGAAAACTCGAGCCCACAGAGAACCAGCAGGAACTCCAGCCCACAGCCTGCAGTGAGCACGCACACAAAGAAAGACAGGAAAGAAAAAGGAAATGAATTAATTGCAGTTTATTTTAACTTCATAGTTAAACTTCCCTTTTGTTGAGTTCAAAATTTGAAAAAGAGAAAGATATATGAATAACACCAACAGTCTACAGCTGATCTTGAGCAGGAATAATGTGTACCATGATCACCATCTTATTTTACCACGTTAGGATGCTAATGTTAGTAGCACTAAACACAAAGTACAACTGAGGTGGATGAGAATACCATTAGCTTTCAAACATGTCAAATCTGATGGTGGTGCTAAAGGAAAAGTCAGGGTGTCACCAAAAGTCAGTCGAATTTTTGTCCTTGGATGTCTGTAGCAAATTCCAATTAATCTAATAGTTGTCAAAATGTGTCACTCTGAACTCCTCTGAACCACAAATGCCAACCCCATGACCATCAAATCATTGTTGAAATATTTTAATAAGGACCAATGTGGGGGACCGACCCACAGACTGACATTGCCATCCCACACTGCAAGCATTGCTAAAAATTGACATTATAGTATATGTACATGTCATACAAAACAGGTCGCAGTTCAGGAAAAAAGAACACTGAGCAGAATCCACAAGAGATTGAGTTGCAATTTTGCAATTTAATTTAGATGTTGATTTTGTACCAAATGGGGATATGTGTTGCTCCGCAGATCAATTTTATGTTTAGTTTTTTCATAATGCAGCGATATTGGGATACAGTGACTGTTTCGACCACAGTACTTGTTATACATATGGACCTTATCTGTGACAGTTTATTGCCCAAATCCACTGAGTGTGTTTAGGCCCACAATGAAGAGTCTATTGAAGAGAGCAAACAATAACACCTGCTCCAGTGAGTCACAAGACATCTCTGTGAAGCTGATTGGATCCCTGGTGCAACACTCTTGTCTGATTCGACACATATGCAGCTATTTCAGAACCTACCCTTTCCAATATTCTGCCACCTTAGGGAGATGTGCTATTAAGAGTCCAATCCCTTTCCTGAGTCCATTGGCACTACTTTGCAGCAAGCGGAGGCTGTGATCAGTCCTTTTGTGTTGTTAAATGGGGCGTGGAATGCTTATTTAAACTGGTAGTAAGCTGCTCTGAGGCGCTTTCTGATCAGTGACATGATTCCCTAGATCCATGGGATGGCAGATGTGACTTATCCACAGTCTCATCAAAAATGAGCACAACTCACAACCCATCATGAAAGTTCTATCAGACAACCCCTGGCTCTCTTCTACTCAATTTATTATTCACAGCATAGCGGAGGCCTGATTCACTGCTTCTAATCGATATGCCTCTGTTGCCTTTTAGCTCACCCTGTAATCCTGGGTCTTTTATGCTGGAAATTCAGGAGCTGCAGAATTACTCTCCACCAAGAGACAGGCGTATTTATCTAATGTATTTTCTCGCCAAACTGTGGCTAAGCTGTGACATTCAGCGTCTGACTCCACTGACCTTTAACAGTAATTCTCTGTGTCTAGTTGCAGAGCTGGAGCACAGAGCTGTGTGTCACCTGAACAGGAGTGTGCTCTCCTGGGCACGGATCTAATCCTATTTGTTAAGCCCTGCCACTGGGCAACAATGGAAATGCATGCTTCCTCCTAAACCAGAAATGTGCCCACTAAATGAGATGATTCTTCACGGTTGAACACTGTCAAAAGGTTGACTGTGAGTGTGTGTTCATGTTTGCTGGTATGCATGTGAATATGTTGTGTTGGAGACCATGACGTGCCACCAGAGCACCACAACAGGCATCGGCTTTATTTAGACTTTCCGTTTTAATGTCATGACCTGCATCACGACATGGATCCTTTATTACTGACTATATTCAGATTTGTCACACCATCAAGACCAAATGAGCAAGCTGTTCCACTCCTTTGTCACTCTGCAGCTGTTTTTATCTCAATCTTTCTCTCTATTCACCAATTCCATGAAGATGTATCAAATATGGCACCTACTGACTGAGTAAATATGTGAAAATGTATTGCATTACACTTGGGAAATAAAGGTTTGCTTCATTTATCAGACAAATAAGCAAGACGAGACAATACATTTTCCAACCGCTGTTTGAGGAACATTTGCATTAAGTAGCAGCCACCAGGTACATAAGATGCAGCTTTCTAGTCATTTGATATTTGGTATTGGTTCACATTTTATCATACTACTGACCCTCAAAGAAGCATTCTTATAAAGAACTACAACAAATTTAATTCTGTCTTTTGCTTTTACATTTGTTCTGAGATAAAATGATATTTGGTTTAATCACCTGCCTTAAACAGGGATTCATCCAAGAGATTCCATTATTCATAAAACTGATCCTTCTCTCACTCCAGTAATTATATTTTTGAGACCCTAAACTATTTCCATTAACATTTTACTTCATGCATGTCAATAGAATTGGGTAGCAGATATCTAACAGGAAAATGATCAGAGCAGGCGAGAGACAGACAGTGATAAGTGTGATACACAGGGAGAGCGAGGGAATGAGAATGTAGATGCTGCCTAGATAGTGAGACAATTTGAATCAGCGATCTGCTAATCACGTTGGACGCAATGATGCGCCTCCTCTCCTCAGCTTGTCAGGACAAAGTAATAGATTCTTTACCCTGCTTAAGCTGCTCCTCTAAAATGGCTGTTTTTACTGCATTGCCAAATACAGAGAAAAAAAAAACATGGTAGATATGGGGTGTAATGTCTTCTTTCTTTCCTTCCTTATGAACAAAATCTTTTAACTTCATCCCTGATGAGGCTTTAGAAGATGTGAATTTATGATGTGAATACTTTTTAGAGGCTCAAAGTATCTCATACACTCTCTCCTGCATGCAGATTCAGAGACAAGGGAGAAGTGTACACAATTTTTCTTGTTTTCAGCCACACTTAGGCCATGTTTGCTCTGTATTGAAACTGGCATAGTACGCACTTTCACTGGGGACTTTAACACCTGCCAACTGACTGATCTCAACACTCCACCACCAAAACGCTACTTTAAATAGGGATGTAAACATAACTTTCAACATGCATTCACACCACAAGGTTACAGAAATGTCGAATGTGATTTACTGCACGTATATATGTATGAGCATGGATACACTAACACAGACATTCTCAAGCATTAACATGTGCATCAGGTTTGAGAATGAGGCAGATCATGTCAGTGACAAGCATAAAAGGCTTAATGATGCTTGTTTACAGAGCTTTGAATAGGGAGCATTTTCAGCACAGAGGAAAAACAACGTATTGTGTGGGAATGGTGTCCTTAAATGAAAATGTAAGAAATGAATGTGTGTCATAACTTCATTGTGCGCTCACACAATGAGCCATTCAGCTCAAATTGTATTATATAAATAGCTTTGGACACAACGGAGCATATATATGCCAATAGTGCCTATTGGAATTTGGCAGAATAAAGGAGAGGCTCTGACAGAGAGATAATGTGTTTTTGGACAGGAAAAGACGCAGCTATTTTTGGTTGGAGCCTGGGCTGTGTTTTAACACTCTCGTCACAAGTCTTTCACGTCCAAGTTTCTCCCCATACAACTTCCCATCACCCCCTTTTTCCTCCCCACTGATTACTGATGACAGATGCTAGCTCTTCACAGTGAGAATAATGTTTGACCCTGTGACCTCATCATCACCAAGTTCCCTTTTTTCTTTGGGGGTGTAGAAACGGAAATAGATAAATAAATGAATAAAACACAATGGCTCTGGTCCCCTGGCAGACTGAGAAGTGACTGTGTAGAATATCAGTGAAGCATAGTTCACACTAGATTTGCCCTCATGAATAACACATCTCTGCTAATAGGAGGGAAACGGTACGTCTGTAGAGCTGCGTGACTCTGCCCATCATTAGACTGGACAAACTCAATTTCCTGTGTCTCTCCAAACACCCTGATAAGCACCCTGGTGTTTTCTCTCCTGCTATTGGCTGGTTCTAAATAATGCCTGGACTCACTCCACACTCACATTGTGCTTACAGTCATGTTAATGCACACAGTGGTAATCAAGGTTAATGCATTATAAATAATATATTGACTGAATGGGCTCACTCTTCTGAGGCACATGACATAGAACCCATTTGAGAAAATGTATACAGTGTCAGTATTACCCTGCAGTGTCAATATATGTAATAAGCTGTAATATTATACAATAATACTGCAATATTCTAATATAGGATGTAATAAAATGGTACAAAATATCTGTCATTTACACCCCTTATGTGTATATGTATATGTTTAGCTGGCAACAAAATATTCCAAATGACCATTCACTTATATGGAATTAATACAAAATAATGAATTAATTTAGGTACATGACAAATATATTAGCTATGTGTGACTGTTAATGGTCCGTGTAAGTAATAGTGGAAATAGAACAAGAGGTTTTGGCCATTTTGCATTATTTCTCTTCATAAATTGGAGGGTTTGCATGTAATTGTCCCTGATGTCTGTAATGACACAAATCTGAAAAGCTCTCTTTGGTTTTTTGGCAAGCACTTTTGAGACAGTCCCTAACTTTAGTTTGTTATGTTCCTAGTCCATTTTTCTAATGTAAAAGTTATACAAGGCGCCAGGCTTTAGTATTGGATAATGTGGTAAGAAAAACATATTACAGCAAATCTTTACTATTCTGAGCACATTATCTGTTCATGTATTATTTTTACATCCTTAATATGTTATCATAAACTTTCCATTGTTTAATCGCAGGCATCTTTTAATAGACTGGGACAAAATCGGACAATATTAGCCAAATTCTTTATTTAATATTTTATTTAGTATTTAATAATACCAAATGCTACAATAAAGAGTAGCGTCTATAAATAAAAAAGTTTTACATAAGCCTTGGTTTCACAGTAAGTTGAACAATCCTCTGAATAGAACTAGCTTCTGCCATTTCCCGTATGGGTCAATTATTGCATATTTATTTTAATTAACAGAGTTGGAAGAAAAGCAAAAATGCAAGTATTTATTCTTAAAGAA